AATGGTCTTGCCCGTGAGGGTCTTGACAAAGATCTGCATGCCACCGCGCAGGCGCAGCACCAGGTGCAGGGTCGACTCCTTCTGGATGTTGTAGTCAGCCAGGGTGCGGCCGTCCTCCAGCTGCTTGCCGGCGAAGATCAGACGCTGCTGGTCCGGAGGGATGCCTGGGGTTGGATAGAACAAGGAGGGGTGATGAGGCCGGGATACGCAAGGATATGGAGCACGCAGCAAGCGCAGTGTTCCAGGAATAGCACACTTCAGCAAGGCAGCCTGCAATGCCACCAGGACGGCACCCATGCAGCCGAAGATGTTGGTACCATGCATTGTATCACCCTGCCCTCCCCAATACGCAGGCCAGTGCAACTGTTGTGCTGTCCAACAGCCAATGCATGGGGAGCACGCGACACCAACTTTGCGCACAGCTTCCCTTGTGCACACCAGGTCACTCACCCTCCTTGTCCTGGATCTTGGACTTGACGTTCTCGATGGTGTCGCTAGACTCCACCTCCAGGGTGATGGTCTTGCCCGTGAGGGTCTTGACAAAGATCTGCATGCCACCGCGCAGGCGCAGCACCAGGTGCAGGGTCGACTCCTTCTGGATGTTGTAGTCGGCCAGGGTGCGGCCGTCCTCCAGCTGCTTGCCGGCAAAGATCAGACGCTGCTGGTCCGGGGGGATGCCTGCAGGTGTGGTGCAAGATGTTGTGAGGTGTGAGCAGCCAATTTCACACGAGTCAAACAACCTGCAATCATGAGCAAGTGCATGCACAGCTTCGCGACAGAGGTGGTGTTCCTGTTGCACAGAAGCTGCAGGCTGCAGCTTGAGGAGATGAGGGAGCCACCGGTAGCAGCAACTGTGCATCCCTGATCAGGCCCTCGCATAATGAATCCTGTCACAACAGGCTGCTCACCCTCTTTGTCCTGGATCTTGGACTTCACGTTCTCGATGGTGTCGCTGGACTCCACCTCAAGGGTGATGGTCTTGCCCGTGAGGGTCTTGACAAAGATCTGCATGCCACCGCGCAGGCGCAGCACCAGGTGCAGGGTCGACTCCTTCTGGATGTTGTAGTCGGCCAGGGTGCGGCCGTCCTCCAGCTGCTTGCCGGCAAAGATCAGACGCTGCTGGTCCGGGGGGATGCCTGGGATTGGACAATACAAGGAGGGGTGATAAGGCCGGCGGACACGAGGCTGGAGAGCATGCAGCAAGGCACGACATTCCAGGCGGTGCGGCAAGGCAGCCTGCAGTAGAGCACCCACCAGTGGAGAACCCATGCAGGCCCATGCGAAATGTGATTTCATGCCTCGTCTGACTCTGAGCCCCCAACAAGCAGGCCCATGCGAGCGATGTGCTGACCAGCAGCTGTTGCATGGCGACTGCACCCAACACGGCTTCCCTTGTGCACACCAGGTCACTCACCCTCCTTGTCCTGGATCTTGGACTTGACATTCTCAATGGTATCACTTGACTCCACCTCCAGGGTGATGGTCTTGCCCGTGAGGGTCTTGACAAAGATCTGCATGATGGCAGGCCTGCAGCAAGGGTGATGGTGCGCACATGCAAGTGTGCAGAGCGGGGCGGGTCAGCTGCCCGTGCAAGCCGCGGAGGCCAAGATAGGCCCAGAGTAATACATGCATGCGCACAAGGACACGAGGTGGCCTTTGTGGGGCCTGGAAAGGCCCACTGGAAGATCGTTGCTGTTCGCGGGTCACGACGCGGGCAGCGAAGGCCGCCTGGAGCGGCCTGCCGGGCCCATCAGCAATCTGCAGGACTCTATGGGCCAGCGCAGAGAGCAAGGCGTGGCCAGGGCACTCTCGCGCCACACGAACACACCTGCTCGTTTGTTGCTGGCGTGCTTTATGTGTCGCGTGTGGTATGTGTGTTGTGCACAACGCCGCGTTTCTGAAAACAAGTCTGGCAGAGGCGTGCGGACGCCAAGTTTTGAAGCTTGAGCCGCGGGAGGTTCTCGTCAGGTTCTCGAGCATTCCGCCCGGCTGCTGCACGCATGCATTCGCGGGAATCGTCACCAATACACCATCTGATATGATAACCGGTCGGCTGCGCGTGAAGCGCGGCCCAACCCATCCGGCCCGAGGATGTGGCGCTCGTCACGCTGCGTGCTGCGCTTGCACTCCCAGCGTCACACTGTCCAAATCATGGTCCCAGCTGCTGGGTCGGGCCAATGTAGGACAAAGAACTGACAATTTCATGTCCATAGCGATCCTCAGCTGACTCTTGGCTGCTTTCACGGCGTTTGCCTGGTGCTGTAGCAGGCTGGCGGCCGCCCTTGTAGGCCAAAGCTCCATCCCAACCTCAGGAGGGAGAAAACTCTAGGAATTGTGATGGTGTCAATATTTCCGGAGCCACGTCCTTCATTCTCTGTTGATTGTCCTCGCATGCGGCAGTGGTTTCGCATGCAGTTGCATGGGCGTTGCTGATCGGGCGGAGCTGATCAGCTTCGCATCCTACTGCCGTTGCCTGCCGTTTGCAATAGTTGAGGATGCGCTGCGCTGCGGCCTGGCCCCAATTATTGTTGATGGTGGTCAGGTACGTGAGCATGTCGCACCATTGTTACCTACTTCGAGCAAGCCGCGTGCAACAAGCCAGCTTTAAGTGAAAGCAGGCTGCGAGCGGTGTGCCTGGCAGACGAGCCATTGCGGCCACCGCCAGCAAGGCCAATACATGAGAGTGAGGTGCGGGGCACCAACATGCTGGCGCTCGTTTGGCTGTGGAGGTTGTACCAGTTGCGCCTGGGGATGGCGCGCACTCCAGCCACAGCGCCGCTGCCGCCCCTGTGGCGCCCGCCGCCACAGGACAGCCTCAGTCGCGCCGCCAGCTCGGCTGCCGCTACATAAGAAGCGCAGGGTAGTAACCCATCTCCCTCATGATCGAGGTGCTGCTGCGGTGGCAGAGAGGCTAGCAAGTCCCCATGCTGCTGGGCCACGCGCTAGTCACACGCAGAGCCCTCGCAGCTACCACCACAGCCCACGACTTCCAAGATGTGCAGCCTGCCTCCTTGCATCAGGTCGCAATCAATTTGCATGCAGGGTAAGATGCTGTGCAGGCAGCGCGGCCGGTGTCGCGAGCCATGCGCTGCGTAGCATTGACGCGCCACAATGAGCCCCGCCCAGCCGCTGCGCTGGGGCGCCGACACGCCTGCGGTCGCTAGTACACGCACTTCTCAGGGCGCGCGCTTGGTAATTTGTTTGGCTGTGGCTGTGCGGAAGCTGCTAGGAATCCGCCGTTTCCTGCAGGAAAGCGTCCAGCTCAGCAAAGTCCTCCAACTCCTGGATGGTGTCGGCGTCCCCCACAAACTGCGCGCACGATTGGATGTGCATGATACTCGCAGGTTTCAAAAGATGGCGAGCGGGGGGCCATATGCACGCAGGGGACAGCCCTAGCTGACAAGCGACGAATCAGGAAGGAATCGCAACTCAAAATCCAGCCGCACGCTTGGGCCATGAGGTGCGTGCGACACTGCCTCGCCCCCCCACAGGACCGCCCCTCAGACAACCACCTTGCCGTTGACGTGCAGCTGCGGCAAGATTTTGCAGTCCTTGCTGCCAGCCAGCATGTCCATGCGGCGGTCTGGGTAGGATGCCAGGTCCACCTGCGGCGCAACGATGCGGCGCGGCAGGCGGCTCAGCGAATCTCGGAAACGCCCTAAAGTCTGCAGGCAGTGCGAGCTGCGGCTGCAGCTCGCATGGCAGCAGCAGCGCCGGCGGCCGCACAGAGCGCACGCACCTCTTCGTATGCTATCCGCTTGTTGTCAAGAATCCGTTTCATCCGTGCAATGTCGGCCTTGACTTTTGCAAGAGCCGGCGTTGTGGTGGAGTAGAGCACCACATTAGGCTGCCCCGACATGCCGGCAGCGGCGCTGCGCCGCCACCGCGCCGCGCCCTCGCCGCTGCCAACGTCAGGGTGTTGAGGACGTGTCAGGGCACGATGTCACACTCAAGATGCTGCCGTGTGTGGCCGCTGGGCCTGGAGAGGCTGCGCAGCTGGCTAGTGCAGCGACGAGCGCCGCCCTGCACACTCGCACAGGTCGTTGCAAGTACTGGCGACACCGCCGGCAGCAGCTTCCCGTGTGGCTCGATACTAACTTAAGCTGCAGTCTTCTGCAAAAGGGCTGCGCCGGGCGGCCTGAGCCTCGCAGTGGGCCTCGCCGTGGGACGCCGCGATGGTGATTGGAGATCGTTCGCGTGCTCAATGACAACGCGACTGTCCCGTTCAACTTTCATTCTCTCTCAAGTGCAGGGCCGAAGGCAGCCCTCACCAACTGGAGAGTCACTGTGAGGCGTCACCCAAGTGCGGTTCGGGAGTCTTGGGCTTGGCCCTCGAGGTGAGCTGCTACCTATTCGAACTCAACTTTCTTCAATTAGCCTTGATAACTGCGCTCAGTGACCATCGGTTGGCGAGTCTCCAACACTGTCACCAACGGCCAGCCGCCCACAACCGCACTGTCCATTTTTGTTGCTGGCCCCGACAAGGGGGGCTTGTGCAGAGTTTTCAGTGCACTTGAGGGCAGGAGGTGGAAAATCACATCCACCGCAACATGATGCCAGTGAGTGATTATGAGCACACACGCGCGGGGCCACGTGCGCATGCGCGCGCGCGCGCGCACACACACACACACACACACACACACACACACACACACACACACACGCACGCACGCACACACACAACTCACATGCAAATCATCAGTGGGAGCAACACCACTCACATGTACTTCACTGTTCAGCGCTGATCGTGTACATTCACAATTCCCCATGTGTTGCCTTCGTCGCCCTCTTTTGATTCGAGTTTAGACATGCACCTACGTTACGGAAATGCCTCTGTAGATCTTGAACGATCCGTTGTTACCTCACAAGGCACACCACCGCTCGGCGCACTTGCGGCACAAGCGATGCGGGGAATTGCAGGCCTCGCGAGCAGCACCGGCCAGCACACAGGTGGCAGGCAGCCACAGGGCGCCGCCATAATGCGAGTGCGTTCAAGAGAGCCGCACTAAGTGTGTGCAAATAAATAATCTATAGGTGGTCATTGCTCGAAGTAGGAGTGCTAGAGGTTCGATGCCAAACGTCAAACAAGCAGGCCAGCCAAAAGCCACCCGCCCAAGCCCGCGACCGCGGCCATCGCCGCGGCGCGCCCCGCCTCGCGGCCGCCTCCTGCGCCGTTCGTCCGGCCCGTCACGTTGCGCCGCGGCGGCAGCGCCACGGGCCCGCCCGCAGCGCCCGGCAGCGCGGCGCCGGACGCGGGGAGGTTCGAAACCTGAAGCGCAAACTTGAGCCAGTTGTCCGCGCCCTTGATGCAGGCCGCGTCGCTGAGCGGGCTCGCGCCCGTCTTCCCGTAATTTCCGCCCTGGAGGTTGCCCTTCAGGTAGCACTTGGTGCCCTGCGTGACCGAGAACTCGCACTCGGGGGTCGCCGCGCACTGGGCCTTGCAGAACTCGAGCGCGCCGGCGCCGGCGCTGGGGCCGGCGGCGGTGGTGACGAAGTCGCGCGTCGCGATGCCGTCGCCCGCGATGTCGTACTTTTTGAGGCTGCGGCGAGGCAAGGCCGGGTCGGGTTGGAGGCGGCCGGGTGGTGAGCTACTGCGTGGGGCTGGTTCTGCGTTTGTGGCGTGCTAAAACCCAATGCTGCTGCCGTCCTGCTTAACGGGCGCCATGCTCGCGGCCAAGGTTTTGGACGAGGGTGTGAAAGCCCCGAACGGCATTAATTCAACAAAGTTTTTGCTACGTAGGCTGCTGGGTGGAACGGGACAAAAGCCACGTGTGTGATGGCGATGATTTGCTGTGTTGCTGTGGGGTTGCCTACGAGCCACGGCTGCCCTGGGGGCTCACCAGTACATCCCCTTGTCGGGCCGGCCGAACGCCTCCCATTCCTTTATGCTCTTGAAGCACAGCGCGTACTTGAGGCTGTCCGGGGCCGTGGTGTTGAGCTGGTAGCTCTTGTAGAGCGTGCAGGTGCCCAGGGCGTCGATCATGTGGGCCGCGCAGTTGGGGCCGGCGACGTCGCAGGCGGCGGCGCACGACACGGTGCCGATGTCACCTGCGGCGCGCGGGGCCGCGCGCGGGGCGGCGCAGCTAGGGTCAGGGGCGCGCTGGCGGCAGCATGAACGAACGGTGACCTGCCATCGGAGGCGGGCTAGTCCCTATGCGTGCAGCCGATTTTTTGTCAATGTTGCTGCTGAGTGCGCAGGCGGCCCCAGCAGCAGCCGCCAGCAGCATGGCTCATGCAAGACATGCACTGTCAATGAACCGAGCAACCGCACCCGCGCCGACGCTCTTGTTGGAATAGACAGTGCCATTGAGGCCATACTCGCGCACACAGTAGTACGTCAGCGCGCTCGCGTTCCCGACCGGCGCGCCTGGCGCGCCCGCCACCGCGCCCGCCGCGGCGGCGGTCAGCACGCCGCCGCCTGTGAAGCTGACGGGCAGCTGCGGCAGGGCGGCGTCGAGTACGCTGCCGGCGCGGAGCCACGAGTCCTCGCCGCGGAAGCAGGTGACCTCCACGTTTTTGTTGGGTCCCGTCGTGCCGTAGCTGTAAGTGGTTGTGAAGGTGGGGTGCAGCCGGAACATGTGTATGTGTGTGTGTATGTATACGTGTGTGTATGTGTGTATGTATGTGTGTGTACTTGCACGTATGCGCACACGCATGCACATGAGTGCATGTGAACACGCCATTGAGTACAATCATCAACACACGAGCCGAGTCGCAGGGTAAGAAGCCTTGCGTCCCCAAGGGCATGCGACCGCCTACTGGTCACCGGCCCTGATCCATGCTGCCCTGGGCGCGCACAGCAGGCGGCGGGCCTGCGGCGCTCACGGGGAGTCGGAGTCGAACGGGCGGCCCTTGAGGTAGCAGCCAGTGGGCACGGTCTGGACGAAAAACTCGCAGCCGCCGGTGGTGCTGCACTGCCCGGCGCAGATCGTGGGCTCAGTGCTCGCGGGGAAGTCTGTGACAGGCGCCTGGTTTAGGGCATTGATTGCGGTGACAGGTTGAGGGCAGTCATGCAACCGCAGGGATATGCTGAAATGGAAAATTGCAGCTGCCCAAACCATCCAGTAGCACGTTGTGTCTCACGCCAAGTGCCTGATACATCCAGGTTCAAATCAGCCCGTTTACCAACAGGCAGTGTGCTCTATGCGGGCAAAATTCTAAAGGTGAAGTGATGATGAAGCAGACACGCAGACTTTGCAGCGCTTGCATGCTATACGTTCATCGCCCACCTTGGCAGGCGTGCCATACTCATCGGCGCCGGGGCCCTGGCCGGCGGGCCAGCCCTGGACGTCAAAAGTTGGCAAGCAGTAGTACTTGTCCCGCGCAACAGCAACTGGGTTTTCGATAAATCCCACATTGCAAGTGTTTGTTAGTTAGGTGGAATAATGCCGGCGTGTTGGGGGCGCACGGCCTGTGCGCATGCGTGCCTCGCCGGCGCGGCATGCACGCGAGTGTGCGGTCTGATGGGCAGCAGCCCGGCGCTGCGCCTTCGCGACGGGAAGGCGATCAGGGTAGGAGCATGCAGAGCGGACCAAAAGCGCTTGGGTTTGCGCAAGGAGCTCACTCCCGCGGGCCGAGCCGAGGGCGACCCAATCCTGCACGTTCTTCATGCACACGGCTGTCACCATGGAGTCCGCGCCGCCGGCGGTCGCGTTGACCTGCGTTTGACCAGCGGTTCGGGGGGCAGTAACTGAAACGGCCGCATGCAACTACAGAGCAAACCTGGCGCGCTGCTTAGGTAGGCCTATTTGGCACACAATCTTCCCGTTGAGCTGCGGCCCGCATCTTGTGTCTCATCAGTGCTCTGAGTCCACCCCCACACCACCACCCAGGAGTTGGGAACAACTGCCACCCAAAGCGGCCAACCCACCCACCCCCCAAGCCCCCAGCCCCGGCCCACCCACCGCGCCCATTAGGTAGCAGCTGCTCCCCGCCACCACCCCGAACGCAGCGCAGTCCGGCCCCATCTTGTTGCAGCGCCGCGCGCACTGGAACGCGCCGGGGCTCAGGGGGCCGTCCTCGGCGACGCGCTCGACGGTAAGGTTCTTCTTAATGGCCCCGCCGACATTGAAGTTGAGGGCGCAGTAGTACTTCATAGCAACAGAGTCCGCCGCCGTGTCCGCGCCGGCAGGGACGCCGGCGGCGACGGCGCCGGCGGCTGCGCCGGGGGTCCCGCTCGCGGGGGCCGCGGCGGTCGCGGCGGGGGCGGCGGCGGCGGTGGCGTCGAGGGGCCCGATGGGGTCGGGGGCGTCCGCAGCATCTACGAGGTCGAAGAAGATCTAGATTCGGGCGTGGCAGTTGCGGAAGTTGTTTTTAAAGGCGGTTGAGATTTCGCTGGATTGCCTCTGATGATACATCAGGAGTGCGTGTGTGCGTGCCGAAGATTGGACGCAGGCTGGCGTGGCACCACACTACCTTGTATTTGACCCTGAGCATGCCCCTGGGCAATGGCGTGCTCATGGGCGGCAACCCTGCCCGACCCCCAGACGCCGCTCGCCTTGCGCGTGACCGTGAGCGGCTTGGGCGGCAGCGCGCCTGCGCCGCTGACGCTGGCGCTCTCCGGCTTGAGGGTGATCGTCAGGTCAATGTAGTGTTCGCCCTGCATTTGCATCATGGAGGGTGGGTCGTCATGGTGTGTTGAATGTTGGCCAGCGCTCCTTGACGGCCCGCTGACCCCATCACCTGACAGGCTGGCTCACTGGCAACCATTGGCACTTGGAGAGATATGGGGGGGTTAGGGCTATCCGCCCACACCCGCCCCAAATCTCTCCAACCCCAAGCCCTCCAGGCCCAGGCCACCCACCTACCTGCCCACCAACTAGGCATGCACTCGCATGCGCTCACACACACGCGCACACACACGTGCACACA